AACAGGGCTGGGAACTATCTGGCCTATTTTTTTTTTTCCACAGTGCTCAGAAAAACAACCAAACTCCTTTTGATATTCTCAGCTGAGAGAGAACATCTCATTAGTCTAGAATCCTCAACCCCAAACCTCTTTGTTCCAGTTCCTAGAAATTTGTTCCTAAGAATTCGCATTGTCCGTATTCTCATAAATGCAGATGCTGCTTTGTGAAACTGAACACCCTGTGAAGGATTTGATTCCAGACTAGTATGACTCAAGATGGGCATCAAACGCTATGTGACATGCTCCTGACAGCTCTACAAGAGTAGAATGCATTAATACCTCTCATTTGTATTTCCAAAGTGTTACATTAATGATGATTCTGAATCACGCAAGTCCTAGAACAGTCTCTCAGAAAAGCAGACAGAAAGGATTCATTATCACAAAGGCAAAGCAGTAGTGATTAATCTACTACACAAATAAGGCACAGATTATTTTAGAAAAGGATGAAGTCCAGGACACTGCTATATCCCAAACACATTGCTTCCTTTTTTCAGTAATTAACCCTTAGGCAATCATTTCTCACGTGAATGCGCATCTACTCAATGGCATCATGTCAGCACAGAAGACATACAAGAGTCACAAACTTCTCCTAAACGGCAAGTGTAAGAAGGGAGGATTTACCTAACAGGATGAAAAAACAGTGGGGTGTACGTTCTGAAATGAAGTGCACTGGCAAGAGACAAGCCAGTTATGTTCTGTCCACTTTCATAAATTATCAGTCAGACACATCTTACAGACTCCTACACTGAGATCAGGTGGTGCAGTCAATTAAACAAGGTACGACTTAACCTCACAGACTGGTCATCCACTAGCACAGTTAAAGCTGTGTCCATATCACGGACTGGAAACAAACCCTCCATGGAAGAGCATCCAAGTATTATCACTACAGCCACAAGGCACAAATTACTTCAGATGAGAGTTAAGGTTTCTACGTGCCATGAGAACTTGGCATTTTTTGGCAAGCGTTTTCAAGCTTTACAAGCATCAGGTATCTAAAGCAAAGAAATACCAAAACCTAAATTTTAGCTATCACTAATCCCAAGTCTGCAGAGAACTTTTCACACAAGCATGCACATTTGCTATTTGTACAACAGTTACAAAACTGAAAAAAAAAAAATGCTTCTAAAGCTTTTTAATTTCCTGATTTAAAATACAAAAGATTTGTTGAAATTGAAGAGATTCTAGATGTGATTGTTTATTAATCCTTCTATCTTTTTATGATGCAAAATCACCAACATTCTTAGTAATCTTTGTGTTCAGCAACAGCAGTACAAATCATCTTAATTTCTTGAAGTCTTGCACTGAACAGCTTGAAGCTGAACAAATGGCAAAAGCAGCACTTCCATCCCTGCATCACTCCATATATTCATGAAAGAAGTCTAGTAAGTATGCAAATTACAATACAACTATCATTTAAATACTTGCAGATGTTTGCAGACAAATGACTATTTTGTGCACATAGAGAGTACAGTTCTCCACAGCTGTTCTTGAGTCTGTGGTCCATGAACCATGTTAAGCTGTAAGGTGCATGAACTTGTTATCTAACAGTTCATTAGGATACCGCAAGAAATTTTAAAGGGTGAGAGCAATCTCACACTGCACCTCTTGCTCAGGTAGATACAGGCAATAGATCCCATTACCAGGACACCTTTTCCCCCAACAGTTGTTTTGTTTTACCCTGTTGACAGGACTCCATTATATCAGTCTGAAAGTGAAATGAGCTAACTTTCTCGCACTGAATGGCATTAGCCACTATTAGTCAAAAGCTCAAGATTCAATCTCTCCCAGCAACACTGCTCTGGAAAGGAACTAGTTTGGCTGGGAACAGATGGCAAAACACACCTTACAACTGTGCCCCGGAGAAGAAAAGATTGTCGACTGCTCTGCGGATGTAGTTTGCTTCCTCCTGAACTACTGCTCGGGGTATGATCTGCTGAAAGCTGTCTTCCTTGCAATATTAACACTATAGTTTGTCCAACTGTTCAGAACCAGAGACTGAAATGAACACTACATAATTGTTTCCATGATGAATTTCAACAAAGAACGACGTAGAAATAACTCCAGAGGTAGGTGATTAAAAAAACCATAAAACTAATTGTGAAATGGAATCCAGACAAAATTAAAAAAATTATTTTCTTTTAACCTTTTCATCCTTTTTGAATCAGTTGCCTGTTCACAAATAATTTTTTGTGATCACAGGATACTAGATTGAAGTTCTGAAAAAAAAAGATACGTTTAAACTAAAAGAATGTGGAAAAAAGAGCCAGCAAGATGCCACCACTACAAGCATATGTGTGAACAAAACACAGAAAGAGTAAAAACACAGCACCCTCATAGATACTCCTGATTAACCACCTCCACTGCTTATGTTCCAATAGCCTGGATTCCTAAGGTGTATGTAGAGTTATCACACAACACCACCAAACCATAAGAATAACTTTGACACGTTGAATGTTTTTTCATCCCTGCACTCCAGTGAATTTGAGTGGTGGTATTTGCAATACAGCTTAGAGCAGAGAACAGACGGGGAGAATTTTCAATTGCCCTGATGGTAAGCATATGGTAACCATTTTAAATCAGCTAATTTTCTACACTATTCTCTCTTTTCTTATGCTATATGTCAACAACATTAACCATGTTCACTTTCAAGCTGATAATGACTCATCATCAGGTTATCTGCAGTCAGCCCCATACAATTAACAGATGTTATTTCTTTCTCTAAATAAAGCTCTTGTTTTTGTAGGTCCATTATACTGTGCTCCCTTTTTCCTCTTTTCTTAAAAAGACCAATATGCCAGAAGATTAAATAGCTCCTTTGTTCCACTGATCCCTAAGTAACTCTGCAGATTTGTTTGTTTTCATGGACAGAGCATAGTGGCAGGGTAATGAGGTGGAGGAGGATGCTGCCTGAGGTTTAACTCAGTAGACCTACCAAGAGCAACTAATCCACTGCCAAAGTAGCTGCCCTAATTAACAAGCTTTGGAGTAGGGAGGGTAGATGAGCTGCGGAGTGGGAAGCAAAGTTCTTACGTAAGTTACTATTTACAGGCCTTCTCTCACACAAGTGCTTCACTTGTGGAATGGGAAGGAGGGTTAGGCAAACAGAAAAACTGAATTCTGTGGTAGGTAACACGTGACAGTACCAAACACGCTAAAGTGGGTATGTACAGTACATCTACAAAAAAAAAAAAAAACCCAACATCTAGCACTGTGAGCAAAGGTGATTGTCCCAATGGGAACAGCAGTGGGAAGAGAGTCAGTTCATCCAATCACCTACACTCTACTTAACTGCTTTCCTTTTCAAGAATAGGATTTCTCATTCTCACTATTCTTTTCCCATTAAAATTCCATTTTCACATCCCTATTTTCCTAAATACACACTAATAAACCAATCCTATACATTGTTATACAAGCATGTGTTCACTGAGCTACTGTGGACCTTACAGAGTTCTGAAGAACCACCCTGAAGAAAGTTTATCATTGTTTCTTAAAAGCCCTGGATAAGAGACACAAACGCACTACAGAAAGAATACACGAGGTTTTGTATTTTATCTGTTTCCATACTAATTCTAGTTACGCACTGCACGGTATTAAGAGCACAAATTAAGACTATAAACTGGAAAATCGGGGTGAAAACATAAATATGAGTTGGCAATGGAGTTGAGCAGAACCATGAACAAGTGTAGGGGAACTCCTGCATGTGTCAGTTGTCTTCTATAAAAAGAAGTAAATTATTATTGCTAAGACACCGCCTAACAGCTTGAACTTTGGCTGTGTTCAAGAGTGAGTTTTGCCGGGAGAGAAAGAGAAACAAGGAGTTAGCAGGTGGAGTTAAGAGCTGGCAGAAGTGCTGACAGCAGCGAAGGCACGGCAGACACATCTACAGAAGGCCCGGGG